ATAGAGTTCTCTTTTATTTAACAAATCTTACGTGACCAGAAAAAACAAGCGCGGGCGGGAAAATAGTCTTTGCATTTGCTCACGTCAGCAGTGTACACCCATGGGCAAATGGGGGATGCTAAATTGACCAATCATAGCGTGTGCTTTACTTTGGTTATGTTATAATTGAAAGTGGGAGTGAATTCCACATATCAACAATACAATTAAAAAAACTAAACTTAAAAGTGTTTGTATGGGCATAATTCTTCTTTATAGTAAGTCCTTCTTTCCCTCTCAAAGGGTACCTAGCAGTATCAGAGTAAAACTGAACAGTTGAAGAGTTCTCAATGTCAACATATCCATTCAAGACTTTACAAAAAAATAACACATCAAAAAGAAATCGTCTACGTTCCAAGGACAGCAGATTAAGCTTAGAATTGCGAATATCATAGTCATCTTCACATTTTAAAGTAAACTTCGTAGCCTGATGTTGCACTCTTTTCAAAGTCATGATACTTTTGGCAGTGAAGGGTGACGTATTCAAGTTGAGGCCTAACCAGGGCACAATAAAGAGTTCTGCATGAGCATACAAATATCTCTCAAATCTCTGCAATTTCTTTTGAGTAAACCAAGCACATTATACGCCATGCTGGTGATCTTGTCTATGTGAGAGTTTCATGCCAATTTACATGTATAATCAGTTAGTAAAACAAGATCAGAGAGCTCAGTAGTAGCTTCAAAGGGAGTACCATCCAGTAGTAGAGGAGCAGAGATTGGAGATTATTTTTTAGTGATCTGCAATAACCTACATTTCTTTGTAGTAAAGCTCATTTGAATTTTTTTTTAGCCCAGGAGCCAGATTGTTGAGATCCTTCTGAAATGATTTATTTTTGCATGGATGTTGGATAACTCTTGAGGCTTAACAGTCACCTGCATACAGTCCCACCATACTCTCAGAGGAAATAGCATGAAGCAGATCATTCATAAATATCACAAAAAACAAGGGGCCCAAGATGGACCCCTGGGGTACCCCTGAGGGAATAGTGCACCAGTCAGAACTTGATTATGATGGATTATTCAAGGAAGGACTTTTTTGATTCTGTTGGTGATGACCTTAGAAGCAAGCCTGGAGTCAGCATTGACTAATGAAGTCAGCCTCCAGTTTTCCAAATACATTTGATCTTTACCTCTTTATCAATAAATGCGATAATTGCCTGTTTTTCTGAATTTTACATTTCTCCTGAGTCAAAAGAGCAGTTAAAAGCATCGGTCATGAGCTCACCTACAAAGCTCCAAAAAGTTTAATTTGTAAAATTTTGTACATATACTGTCTTTCCATTTTCAAAAGTATCCAGTGTTTTGGCACATTCTTCAATAGTTAATCCTCCTTCACAACTTAGTTAATAGGTTTCTTTTCTCCAGACTTTAAAATATTTTGTACTTTTTTCCCCATGTTCATGCCATCTCACCCTTAAACATACAATTAATCCATTGGCTTTCTCTTTGTAAAAGTTTTCTAACTCAGTTTTATATTTATCCAGAATATTTTCAAATTCTTAGCAAGGATTTTATTGAAATTGTATTTGAGTGGCTTGGAGTTAGTTCTTCTGTAGACTTTTCTCTTTATCTCACTTAGTTCTACTAAGCTCTTTTGAGTATTGCATCCAAAAAAACAAACCTTATATTTAATCCAATCCCAAGCGACTCTTTTGTCTGAGGACTCTTTGCCTTCTTCTTTCCATATCTCCAGATTCATTTTCATAAATTGAATAAACTTTTCATCTGACAAAAATGATGTGTTCATTTTTTAGAAACCTGGCCCTTTTTTTTAGTCTCCTCAAACTCTTGCAAAAGAAGTACAATTGCCCAGTGGTCCATTTTAATGACTCCAATAATGTCTACATTTTCAATCAAGTCCTGAAGTGTATCTGGAATGAGGCAAT